TGGTAAGTGGGTTATTAATATATAGAGATGAGAAAAAATCTTCTTTTTAATTAATTTTTTTTATAATAGCATTTTAATTGACTTTAAATTACAAACCACTTTAAATTTTCATGAATTAGTATATAATAGTATATGTTTATATATACATTATATATGCCTTCATATAAATTAATTCATATAAATTCATATAAATTGGAAATCTGTGTAAAAGTTAAAGTAAAAAATGTTTCAAAATACTTTTTTTTTTAATTTTTGATATTCATTTAAAGTTCATATTAAATTTCTTTTGACCTCCATACAAGTTAAGCCAGTAAATTTGACTTTACAGATAGGGTTTGCAATCCCGGAGGTCTTTCTCAATCCCGGGATTCCAGGATTGAGAAACATCAATCAGAATCGACACTTGTCGGTTTCACCGTCATTAGAAATGAACAAACTCTTTCTAAATAATCACCACGTGTACCACCATTTTCAAATAATGTCATTTCTTTTTGAATTTTTGATAACAGTGTTTTATGCCTAACTGGTTGCATCGGTGATTGCGCTTCTTTAATTACACGATCAAGCTCCTCTTCAATACTTAAAGTGTTTTTTTCAGTTTCAGGTTCTTCAATAAGATCCAGTATTTCAGACTCAACTGATGCTCCTACTAAAGCAGGATTGGAAGCGTTTAATCTTTCCAGCAATTCTACCAACAGTTTTCTACATTTATATGAAGAAGGCACTGTAAATATTTCTTCATTGACTTCAATCGAGCTTTGACCTTTATGCAGATATTGCAGAATTCCACTCATATCAGTTTGGCGTTCATGTATACCCATTATATTCCCATATATACCCATATACACCCTTAGTATTCTCATATATACCTATAGTATTCATGTATAGCCATTAAAGCTGTACGCATTTCCTTGCTTGTGTCATTGTCAGCATCTTTTAATTTTCTAAGCATAAAATTAATAGCAAAGTCAGCTGTTAATAGGTTAGAATCTCGGCGACAAGTGCTTCAACCGTTGCTTAAATAAGAACTAAAGTTGTAATAATGTCTGATAATTTTATCAAATCATCATGCAACAGAGCTATAGAATGCACTGTGTAAATATCAATTAATGATTTTTGTATACAATTTTTTACTTTATAAAATCGTTTAAGCATTAACAGAAGGCTGCTCCACTTTGTTTTGAAATCCATAATTAAAGACGTTAAAAGTAAAAGTTGTTTTCCAAATTCAGCCTTAATATATTTTTGTAAGATGTCGTTCTTGATAGGTGATCGTCTAAATATTATTATCAACTTGCGTACTTTTTTAATGACTGGTCCATAATGAACTTTATTTAGTTCAATTTTAGAAACTTCATTTAGTTCAATTTTAGATCTTAAAGTTTCATGGTTGTAGCCCAGTAAATCTTCTTCAATATCCTCATTCTTGGATGAATCATTGTCAAAAAATTGATTTTCAAATTCTGGCTGATTTGCATCGAATTCTTTTTTTTATCAAGAACATCAATTACAGCAAGTTGTATGTCGTGGGCAAAACATAATTGTTGATTTGCAGCCAGCAACCTTCCAACTTTTTTCATAACACTTCGTCATTTTTTCATAACAAGCTTCGTCGGTCATTATAGCTACAATGTCGCCGTGTAGATCAAGACAATGGTCTTTAAGTTTTTTTTCTAATAGTTCAATGCATTTTTCTGCTGGCATTGACCCTGTTATTCGCACTAAACCCAAACTCCAAAACTGAGAATTTTTTCCATAAACGTTAATATTCATATAGCCACGATTTCAAAGTGACGTCCATTCGTCAAAAGTGACGTCCATTCGACAAAGAAAATTTCTCTCCTACCCCAAATTCTGTACTCTTAAGTGCTTTAATTTGCTGAACTAAATGTAATCTTACTTTTTGGCTGTACTCTACTACATGATTACGAATTGTGTTTACTGATGTTGGTAGATTTCTGAATCCCATAACAGTTAGAGCGGCACGTAAATCTATTGAAGAACAAATCACATTAAATGAAAGTCCGTCAGACACTGTTAGATGAGCAAGTGTAGCGTGAAGTGTTTTATCTTCCTTCTCAAAAATCGAAAAGTATTCTGTTAGTGGTTTAGATTTCTTTTTTGGTGGTTTATTTGATGTGCTTTCTCCGGTAATATTAGGTTGGGTTGGACTTTCGACCTTAACATTATGCACCGACAACATGTGTATATGAAGTCCTTTTGTTGAACCACCACAGATTTTCAAAATCTTCTTGCAGTTTGACAATGTACACATCACTGTTTGCCCTTTCTCTTCTCGTAGAAAATGTTTCCAAACAGCTGAGTTACTTTTAATTGTAAAATCCACATACGCCATGCTTATTTAAATTTTAATTTTAAGAGTAAACCTTGTAAGAAACGCGCGTTTTTTTTCAGTTTAAAACAGTTTATTTTGCAGAATTACAAAACAGAATAACTGAAAATAGAATTACTTTCTGCAATATTATACTAAATAAAAATT